GGAGGGCAAAGAGAAGCAGGGCCTCGATGCTCGATCCTGGACTCTCGACGCTCGAGGCCTGGGCCTCGAGGCTTGGGCCTCGACCTCGAGTCCTCGAGTCGCCGTCGCCGCCGTCGTCGTCGTCGTCGCCGTCGTCGTCGTCGTCGCCGCCGCCGCCGTCGTCGCCGTCGTCGTCGTCGTCGTCGTCGTCGTCGTCGTCGCCGTCGTCGTCGTCGTCGTCGTCGTCGTCGTCGCCGTCGTCGTCGTCGTCGTCGTCGTCGTCGTCGTCGTCGTCGCCGTCGTCGTCGTCGTCGTCGTCATTCTCCTCGGCCTCCTCCTCCCCCTCTGCCTGCTCCTCGTCGCCGTCGCCGACGCCGACGGCGCGGCCGTCGCCACCGCAGCCGCAGCCGACTGGGGGGGGCCGAGGGGGGCGCTGCCTCGGAGAGCCCCGGGGGCGGCCGCAGTCTCGGGCTCTGCGTCTGTGCGCGCGCGGGGGTGTGCCGAGAGGGGGCTTCGGCGGGGCGCGCTGGCTTCGGCGGCGGAGCTGCCGATGTCGGCAGGTGCTCGTCGGGTGCCGCTCTGCGCGCCCGCGTCCTCATGCCGCCATCGACCTGCGTCCTCCTTCCTGCACTCGCCCCTTCGCCTCCGCCTGCTCCTCTGCCGTGCCGCACACCGTGCCCGTCGTCGTTCCCCTCCTCATCCTCCTCCACGTCCTCGTCCTCGTCGTCGTCACCCTTCAGCTTCTATCCCTCCTCCTGCTCCTCCTCCTCCTTCTCCTCCTCCTCCTCCTCCTCATCATCATCACCATCACCACCATCATCATCATCATCATCATCATCATCATCATCATCATCATCAGCATCATCATCATCATCATCATCATCAGCATCATCATCATCGTCATCATCAACATCCAACCTCATCAACATCAGAATCCTGATCTTCCGTATCCGTATCCAACAACAGCAGCAGCATCGGCATCATCAGCACCAGCATTATCACCACCACCATCACCATCACCAAACTCATCACCAAAATCATCACCATCACCATCACCATTACCATCACCATTACCATCACCATTACCATTACCATCATCACCACCACCATCACCACAACCACCATTAGCATCAGCATCAGCATCAGCATCAGCATCATCATCATCATCATCATCATCATCATCATCATCATCATCATCATCATCATCATCATAATCATAATCATCAGCATCATCATCATCCTCATCAGCATCATCATCATCATCATCATCATAATCATCAGCATCATCATCAGCATCATCATCATCATCATCATCATTAACAGCAGCATCAGCATCAACATCAGCAGCATGAGCAGCATCAGCAGTATCGTCATCACAATATGCATTAACATCAACGTCAACATCAGCAACAACAACAACATCATCCTCATCATCAACATCATCATCAGCATCATCATCATCATTATCATCATCATCGTCATCATCATCATCATCATCATCATCATCATCATCATCGCCACCACCACAACCATAATCATCACCACCATTATCGGCCCCACCACCAACACCATCACCATCATCCTCATCATCAGCAGCATCATCCGTTCCTCCTCCTTATCATCGTCACCATCACCATCACCGCCATTAACAGCAACGTCAACATCATCAACATCATCATCATCAGCATCATCATCATCAGCATAACCGTCGTCATCATCATCGTAGACATCGTCATCATCATAATCGGTATCATCGCCATCCCCAGTATCGTCGGCATCCTTAACACAATCGTCGACATCATCATCGTCATAATCATCGTCACAATTACCTTCGTCACCATCAGTACCATCAGCATCATCACCATCATCATCAGCATCATCAATATCATCATCATCACCATCAATCACATTATCAGATTTACCAGCATCATGATCATACTCATCAAAGTCACCACCGTCATAATCAGAATCAGCATCATCGGCATCAGCATCATCCACATCGTCAGCGTCAGCATCATCCTCATCATCAGCATCATCATCGGCATCATCAGCATCGGCATCGTCATCACAATCGTCATCATCAACATCATCAGCATCATCATCATGATCAGCATGATCATCATGATCATGATCACCATCACCGTAACCATCATCATCATGATGATCATCATCATTTCCATCTTCATCATCACCACCATCATCATCAGCAGCATCATGAATATCCCTCCCGCTCCTGCTCCAGCTCCTCCTCCTCCTACTCCTCTGCCCCCACGTTATCCGTCCCTTACCTGCTGCTGCCCGTCCCTGTGTTCCTCCTCTTCCTCCTCCTCCTCCGCGGACCACTCCACTCAGACGAATTACTCAATTGCTGATCCATCTCAAGCTCTTCCTTATCCTCCTCCGCAACCTCGCCCCTTGACCCCTCTGTCCTCCTCTTCCTCCTCCTCCTCCGCCTCCTTCCTGCTCCATCTCCTCCTCATCATCCTCCTCCTCACCCCCCATCCTCACCTCATGCGTCTCATCCTCAACCTCACCCTCTTCATCGGCAACCCGAGAAAACCGAACGAGAATACCAACTCCGAAGAGTCCATTGGGGTAACCCGTCCGTAAGATTCAGTCGCGGAGCATTGCGCTTTCTACTCGGGGACATCGTATATCCCAGGATGTACAGACTTCATCCTCGCCTCGCCCTCCTCATCCCATCCCTCGTCTTCTCTCTCCTATTCTTCACATTCTCGCGCATCCCCGTCCTGGCCCAGATCCTCATCTTGAGTCATACATTCCTCGCCTCGCTCAGAGCAAATGGGGCTGGACAAGATCGAAGCTAAAAGGATGGCAATGCATTGCCGCTCTCAGTGACGATGAAATGCCCACAATGAGAACGAGAAGGGCAGGCACCATGGCACGAAGTGATCAGACGAATGTTGAGCGGCGGAAGCGAAGACGACACCGTGCAGCTGTTCAAATGCTGTTGATCGTGATGCTGCTCCTGCTGCTACTCTCGCTGCCGCCGCTCCCGCCGCTCCTGCTCCTGCTCCTTCTCCTGCTGCTCCTTCTCCTGCTGCTGCTGCTGCTCCTGCTCGTCCTCATCCACCCACGTGTTTCCACATTGCTCGTGCCATTGTCACTCGCCACCGCCTCCGAACTGTGCTTGGCAGGAGGACGCCAACTGTACACCAGCACCGATCCTGGCCAGGATCACCCTGGGCCCAGAGTCGGTGTACATACGCCCTCCTGCCTTGGGCACGAAGGCATACACACACACACCGATCCTGGGCCTCGGATCGGCCTGGCCAAGATCGGTGTAAGTGTATAATCGGTACCCTCCGACTCGTGGTTATTATTCGGGGGTGGACAGACCTCCCTTTAGTAAAACGTGGTTTAGTGAAAACGACCTGAGGCCCAAACCTGGCGGGCGCAAGCCTGGAAAATAACGGCCACGGCGCTCTCTCGAGAACCGAAAACGGACAATTCACTAATCAACGTGTCACTGTTGGGGGTTCTGTCCACCCCCGAATTATTGGTCCTTCACCGCCGCCTCTCCCCTCGCGCGCACGACACATATCCGTTATCCACAGCCCCGCGGTCTGGACGCCGCGACCGTGACTCACGGATGCAGGGCGGCTCCACTCGGATGGCCCGCGGAACGTGTCCATGGGATCGCGTCTCTGCGGGAGCGCACATCGGCATCCAGACCGCGCGGGCATGGATCCAGATGTGTTCGTCGCTGGAAATTATCCCCCCTCCACTGGTATGAAGCAGCCGGTTCCTGGAGAAAACATTTCTCGGATGTCGGCGCTTCCGCTCGGGACGAGTTCTTCATTCTGAGTCGATGTTTGACTGTCCCTGAGCCCGTGGGGGGTCCCCACGGGATGAGAACAGTGTGCAACAAAGCTCCGGACCCAATCCACTCGGGGTCCGTTGCCTTCATGGCCGCCTCCACCCCGTCTCTCTTTGCAAGCCCGGAACGAGCGCGGAAAGTATGGGTACGATGCCCACCAGCAGTACCTGCTCATATAGAACAAGAGTTGCTGCCCTTCTGAATGCTTCTGGGAGCAATTCTTGTCATGTTGGCAGCATCTCTTGCCCATGAGAAAAATAGGTGCTGCCAAATGATCGAGGAATACTGCCAAAGTGCCGAGATGTGGTCCGACGTTCCCCGACGAACAGCGAATCCTGCCCCGCATGAACACTGGTCTTGGACATGGAGGCCACTTTTTCCGTCACCGTTCCAGGCGTGCAGACTTTCCTCTTCAACAGACTCGCTTCGCCCAACTCCTGCTCCGCCCGGCTCTCGCCTCGCCTGGTCCTGCCCTGCCAGTCCCGCTTCGACGGGCACCTGCCTTGCCCAGCTCGCTTCGCTCGGCTCGCTCTGCCCACCATGCGCAGCCTGGCTCGCGTCGCCCGGCTCGCTCCACCCGCGGGGATCCATCCCCACCCGCTTGGTGATCGCCCCGCCCGTGAGAGCCCGCCCGCCCGCCCGCCGCCACCCGCCTCCGTGACCGCGCGCCCGCCCGTGAGGAGGGGCCCCCCGCCGGCCCGTCGGGTCAGGGCCCGCCTCGTGCGAAGCCCGCCCGCGGGCGGAGAGCGAGCCCTCGCGCGGCGAGGCCCGGCGGAGGCGCGCCCCGGCGGAGCGAGGCCGGGCGGAGCGCGTGGTCCTGGCAGAGCGGGCCCCAGAGAGGCGGGCACCCGCGAAGCGAGCCCGGGCGGGAGGACTCCCGGGCGAAGCGGGCCGGGCGAGGCGAGCGGTGGCGAGGCCGACGCTCGTGCGAAGCGAAAACGTCGGGTGAGGCGAGGCGAGCCTCGGGCGAAGCCGCCGCCTCTTCACGGACTCTCCTCGATAGTCTCAAGCGGCCGGCGGCGGCGGCGGCGGCGACGGCGACGGCGACGGCGACGGCGACGGCGGCGACGGCGACGACGACGACGACGCTTCGAGCCACGGCGGCGGCGATGCCGGCGATGGCGAGGACGGCGACGACGAGGCCGAGGAGGGTGGGTCTATTCTCGCGCGATCCGCAAACTAGGTCGCAGATCAGCTCGCCCATGGCCCGGTAGCCCGACGGCGACAGGTGCACGCCGTCGGGGTCCCACAGCCTCCCCCCCCGCCGCGGGCGGGGGCCCGGCGCGCTCCCTGCGCCGCGCTCCCTGCGCCGCGCGCCGCTGTGCCTCCCCTGGCGGGCCGCATCGCCGGGCCTCCGTCCGGTCTGCCGGCTGCCTCCTCGCCAGCGCGGGCCGCACTTGTGGATCCGACTCCCTCCTTGTCGTTGTCGCCCGTCTCGACTGAGCCTCCTGCTGCTCCTCCTCTTCCTCATCCTCCCGCTCATCCTCCTGCCGCCTTTCCGCTGCTGCACGAACTCACCACTGAGAGATGGCCACGTCTCATCCCATCCCATCCTCCAACTCGGCATCCCGCTCATGCGCCACCTCCTCCCCCGACAGCAGCGCCGCCCTGCGCGGTAGCCTTCCGCGCCCTCCCCCTGGGGACCCCCCCCACCTCCTGCGCTTTCGAGCGCGCTTCCGAACTCGGGGGCGTCCAAGAGGGGGGTGCAAAAGCATGACCGGCGGCATGTGCGCGGCCCAGCGGGGGGGCCAGGGACGTGCTGGAACAAGAGGAGGCGCCATGAAATCTGGGGAAATGTCATGGCCCCCGCCATGATATCCACCCCCCCTAGTCATCACCCCCCTCTTTTCCGCCCCCGACGAACCCGTGCTGCCCTCGTGTCCCGGGTCCGTGGGCGAGCTCCCCCCCCCCCGGGGCACACGCCCCGACCCCACGCCGCCCGCGCCGCCGGCGCAGGCACACTCCCCTCCAGGAGGCGCTGGGTCGGGGGGGGGGCGGTCGAGTTGGGCCGGCGGCTCGTCGGGGTGGGGGCAGCAGGCGCCCCGTCGTGCTCGTGCTGTCCCATCTCGCCAGCGTCTGGATCGCCGTGCGAACACGCGCCAGCGGGCATGACGGCCTATAGCTCTGGGGAGGAGAGGGGGGCGGAGGAGGGAGAAACGGGAGACGATGCCACGGTAAGAAGGAGGCGGGAAAGACGAGAGAGGAGAGAGCACAAAGATGAGAAGGGCGGGGAGGGGGAGAGAGGACGGAGGAGGTGGCAAAGCAGGAGGGAGGGGAGGCGCCTCGGATCCGAGCCTTTGGCTTGTGGAGGGGGGGAGGGTGGCTGGAGAAGAAGGCCAGAAGGGAAGGAAGAGGAAAGAGGGAAGAGAGAAGGAGGGCAGCAAAAGAGATGAGAGGAGGCGAGGAGGAGGAGGACGTGGACGACGAGGAGGAGGAAGACGAGGAGGAAGAGGAGGACGAGGAGGAGGAGGAGGAGGAGGAGGAGGAGGACGACGACGAGGACGAAGGAAGGCTCTTCGTCGGGGAGGGGAAAAGGAGGAACCAAATCCGCCGACCCTGTCGGCGTGTGTGAGGGGCTTGTCAATTCGAGTCGTCGTCTCCGTCGTTCGTTAGTCGTCGTCTCTGTCGTCCCCTTTCCCTGCGCTCCCCCCTTCCCTGGGCCCGTCGCCCCCCCCCTTTTCCCTGGGCCCTCCTCCTCGAGCGCTGGGCCCGTCGCCGCTCCCCGCCCCTTCCCTAGGCCCTCCTCCTCCTCAAGCGCGCCAGCCAAAGCGGAATTGAGCAACGTCGTATTGGACTCGAAGGGACACCCCTTCCCTTTGATCCCTCCCCCGCCGGAAGGGGGGGGGAATCCCAGGGGGGGTGGGGATCGTGGGTCAGATGCGACTCCCCCCCGGGGGGGGATCCCAGGGCCCAAAAAAGCCCCAAGACGGGTCAAGAGTGCCCCAAAAGGCCCCCAAGACGGTCCAAGAGGGTCCCGAGTCGCCGAACGATCTGTCCAAGACGCCTTGACGGCCTCCAGACGGCCCAAGCTGCAAGACGCCCCAAGAGGCCTCCAGAAGCACTCCCGAATGTGCCCCAAGAGGAAGAATCACTGACTTCATCACTGATTTCCCAATGGTCTTGAAGCATTTCGGCGTTGTCGCCCATTCCGTTTCCCGACACTCCAAGACGGCCCAAGAGGCCCCCCAGATCGATCCAAGACGGCCCAAGATGGCTCGAGGATGAACCCGAAATGACCTTAGAGGGCCCCAAGACGGCCCAAGACGCCTCCAAGGCGGCCCAAGAGGCCCCCAAGATGGCTCCAAGAGGGTGCCCAGACGAGGGACACGGAGGACATTTCGAGCCCTCGGCCCCGAGAGGCTCCCAGGAGGAACTCAGAGGCCCCCAAGAGTCCCCCATAGGGTCCCCCAAGAGGCCCACAAGAGGCCCCTGTGAAGCCCCGAGAGGCCCCCAAAGAGGCTCCCAAAAGGCACCCAGGAGGCTCCCAGGAGGCTCCCGAGAGCCCCCTACTCTAAACTGCTTCTACGAGGCCCCCGAGAGCGCTTCGAAGACCCCAAGAAGCATCCATGGGGACCCTGACCCACGTCAGCGTCGTCGTCGTCGTCGCCGCCGTCGTCGCTCCCCTTGCAGGGTCGGCGGCGCCGGCCGTAAAGCCTTCGCAGTAGGGAAGAGGGGGGAGGAGGGAGAAGAGGGTACAGTCGAGGCGTTGACCTAAGGAGCCCTAAATAAGGAACGAGGCCCCTATTCTCCATAAGTTAAACTTCGATTTCGTATCGAAAACCTAAGGAACATCTAAGGCAAGCTGCGAAACAATTAAGGAACACGGAGCCCCTCCCCAACGAAAAGGGTTCCTTCTTCAGGGCCCCGACTGTAGAGGGCAGGAGGGCCAGGAGGCAACTACTGGGAGGTCTTCCTCGGAAGGATCTAAGGAGGATTCAGCCCCACTGGGGAGGCTGTTGCGCCAGAGTGGGCCTCGGATTCAGCGGGATGAAGCGGGATTAAGCGGTATTAAGCCGGATTGAACTGAATTTCGGACCAGGGCAAAATCTGAATTTGACCTCCCAGGAGTTGCATACGAAGGAGGGGCGGGGCAGAGGGCGACAGGGGGTCCCAGAGAGGCGTTGGGCGGGGTCGGAAGGACGAGGCCCCCGCCCCTCCCGGAGTGGGCGGCGTCCTGCGGGATGCGCGCGGCCAGCTCGACGAGGAGCGTCCTCGCGGGACGAGCGGCGTGCTCTCCGCCTCCCTCCGCCTCCGTCTCCGCCTCCCTCCTGCAGGCGGGGAGGGGGGGAGGGAGGGACGAGGGGAGGGGTTGGGGACTTGAGGGTGGTAGGCGCTGGTTTAAAATCGGGTGGGAGGGGGACTAGGAGGGGGACTAGGAGGGGGTATGGGTATGGGATCGTGTTTCGTCGATATGTCCGCCACGGTCGCGCAAGCAGGCTGGGGGGGGGGGCTGACCAGTCGCCAAAAGCAGCCGCCCAAAGCAAGTCTATGGGGGGAGGGGGGGGCGGGGAGCCCGCGCCGATCGGCGAAACAATGAATACAGCAAACGCTACAAGGTTCGGGTGTTGGTTCGTGCTTGTGGGGAATATTGAACTCTTGTATGTTAGGGGAACGGATTGGACACCATCCGTTCCCCACTCCTCCCAAAACCTCCTCACCCTGGGGTTACGCTTCCTGTTCACGCCCGGACATCCCATTTGCATCACGAACACCGCCTGCCCCCCTTCCTGTGCTGCCGTGGCGGCGGCGCTTGCAGTGTCAAGATAGCCGCGCACATCGCCTTCGAATACACCGCAGTTGCTCGAAACCACAATGCGACCGTGACTCTGACAGTCCCTTCACTTCGACAACGATGCCGGGCGAACTGGCTCCACTCCTAACCGATCTTCTCCTCCTGTTCCTCACGTTCGGACGCTCCTCCCTCATCCGGCCTCCTCTCCCGCACACATTCCTCCATCCACCTCCCTCCTCCGTCCTCCTTCTCAGGACTCTGCCTGAGATTCCTCCTCCTGGGACTGCCTGCGGTCCTGTCAGGGTCGCCCGCCGCGAACTGGCAGAGGGATTCGTTGACCCAGTGCCTGGGCCGATCGCACAGGAAGATCTTTCGAGCCAGCGTCACCAGAGAGGAGCGAAAATAGGTGTTGGAGGATAAGGAGCCATGGAGGACGAGAAACAAGAGAGGAAGAGGAGGAGGAGGAGGAGGGGCAACGATAGGGGGAACTGGCACAGGGGGGATATATCGGTCTGCAATCAGCAGTACATCGCCGATAGGTCGGCGATAGTCCCCCGATAGCGAAACCGCACCTTCCTGGGCGGGTTCGGGCTATCGGGCCCCTTATCGGCGATCAATGGGCGACTGGATGTCGATGCGTTTGCCCATCCCCCCCCCCTATGGCTGCCCCTGCGTGGAGGAGGAAGAGGAAAGGAACACGTGGAACAGGGGCAGGAGAAGGAATGGAGCGAGAGCGGAGAGCAGACGAGCAGGAAGAGAGCACGATGGAAGGCAAACGCAGGAACAGGAGCGGGACCCAGGAAGGAAAATAACTCACTGCGTGGAGCTCCCCATATGTGCATATCATGCTTTATGATATGCCATAGTGAACGTTTCTCTATGAATGCCTGACTATAAGAGCGCGTCCACGTGGCCGACAGGTCGGACGAAGACGGTTAAACACCGATGTGCGTGAGTATGAGTGAGCGTGAGGTTTGAATACGACTGAATATGCGCCCATCCTCTTCGTTCCTCCTCCTCCTCATAAGTCACAACGATGACGTGGGAGGCTTGGGTGACTTGGGAAACTCGGGGAACGTGGGAGACTTGGGAGACGTGGTAGACTTGGGGGCCTTGGGAGCCTGGGGAACTTTGGGAGACTTGGGACACATGGGGCACTTGGGAGACTCGGGAGACTTGGGAGGCTTGCGAACCTTGGGAGACATGGGGGACTTGGACGAAATGGGAGACTTGGGAGAGTTGGTCGCCTCGGGAGACTTGATAGACTGAGGAGACTTGGTATTCCTGCTGGGAGACATGGAAGACGTGGGAGACTTGCGGGACTTGGGGGATTTCAAAAATTTGAGGGGGGGCATGGAAGACATGGGACACTTGGGAGACTTGGGAAGCTTGGGAAGCTTGGGAGGCTTGGGCGACTTAGGAGACCTGCCTGACAGACTTGGGAGACTTGCCGCCTGAGACATCCTCCAAATCCGCTCCGGCAACAAACAGTGTTGGGACAAAAAACCGGCAAACCGCTTGAGACATCCCCACAAAACGGCCGCGAACGGGACCGTGTCATACCACTCGGCGGCTCCCTTTAGGGGTGTTGAAACCAGCGCCCCGCCTGAGACATCCTGACAATCTGCTCTCCAAGCGAAGGATGTTGGGGCAGAAAACAAGCAAACCGCTTGAGACATCACCACGAAACGGCCGCGAACCAGACCGTGTCATACCCCTCGGCGGCTCCCCTTAGGGGTGCTGAAACCAGCGCCCCGCCTGAGACATCCCCCAAATCTGTTCCTAAAGCAATGATGCTGGGGCAGAAAACAAACAAACCGCTTCAAACATCCCCACAAAACGGCCGCGAACGGCACCGTGCAATACCCCTCGGCGGCTCCCCTCAGGGACGTGAAAATGATCGCCTCGCTCGAGACATCCTCTAAATCTGCTCCGAAAGCGAAGGATGCTGAAACAGAAAACAAGCAAACCGCTTGAGACATCCCCACAAAACGGCCGCGAACGGGACCGTGCAATATCTCTCGGCGGCTCCCCTCAGGGACGTGAAAATGAGCGCCTCGCTCGAGACATCCTCCAAATCTGCTCCAAAGATGCTGGGCCAAAAAACAAGCAAACCGCTTGAGACATCCCCACAAAACGGCCGCGAACGGGACCGTGCACTACCCCTCGGCGGCTCCCCTTAGGGACGTGAAAATGAACTCCTCGCTCGAGATATCCTACAACAAATCTACTCCGAAATCGAAGGATGCTGGCACAGAAAACCGGCAAACCGCTTGAGGCATCCCCACAAAACAGCCGCGAACGGGACCGTGTCATACCCCTCGGCGGCTCCCCTTAGGGGCGTGAAACGGAGCGCCTCGCTCGAGACATCCTCCAAATCTGCTCCGAAAGCAAAGGATGTTGAAACAGAAAACAAGCAAACCGCATGAGACATCCCCACAAAACGGCCGCGAACAGAACTGCAATACACCTCGGCGGCTCCCCTTAGGTTAGTGAAAATGAGCGCCTCGATCGAGACATCCTCCAAATCTGTTCCGAAAGCGAGAAGTGTCGGGGCAGAAAACAAACAAACCGCTTGAGACTTCCCCACAAAACGGCCGCGAACGGGACCGTGTCATACCCCTCGGCGGCTCCCCTTAGGGACGTGAAAATGAGCGCCTCGCTCGAGACACCCTCCAAATCTGCTCCGAAAGCGAAGGATGTTGGGACAGAAAATTACTCACTGCGTGTAGCTCCCCATACGTGCATCTATTCGCATGGACCTGTCCGCCGTGAATGCCTAGGCGCAAGAGCTTTCGAACATAAATGGGCTTCAGTTGTGACGGTCTGGTCATGACTGCGAATGAATTGGAGTGTGAATGAGCCTCAGTAGTACGAGCGCGTCTCTGCGCATTAGCCTGGGGCCTCCTGGGGCCTCCTGGGGCCTCCTGAAACCTACTGGGGCTTCCTGGGGGCCTCCGCGAGCCTCTTGGGGCCTCCTGGGGCCTCCTGGGACCTCCCAGGGAGGCTTCGTGCCCCAGGAGAAGCCCAATATATAGCAACCGACGTACATAATAAAACATTGCGGATTGGAGCCACAGGAGAAGGGCAATCTATAGGAACACACGTAAAGCACCAAGGACTCGTGCCCCAGGAGAGGCCAACATATAGGAACATAAATAAAACATTTAGGATTGCGTTCACAGGAGAAGGACAATATATAGCAACATACGCATAACGTCAAGGGTTCGTGCTCCAGGTGAGGCCCAATCTTTAGGAGCATGTGTAAAACACATGGGATTGGAGCCGCTCCTGTTGCCTTCTGAGGCCTCCTGCTCCTGGGGCCTCTTGGGGCCTCCTGTTGCCTTCCGAAGTCTCCTGGCGCTTCCTGTGGCCTCCTGGGGCCTCCTGCGGCTTCCTGAGGCCTCCTGGGGCTTCCTGGGGCCTCCTGGAGCATCTTGGGACATCTTGTGGCCTCTTGCGTCTTTCTGTGGCCTCCTGATGCCTCCTGGAACCTCATGTGGCCACCAGTGGGCTCCTGGAGCCTGTTGGAGCATCCTGTGGCACCCTGAGGAGAATATGTGCCCACGAGTCTGGCCACCAAAACAAGCAAACCGAACGAGACATCCTCAACATCTGGCCCACATGGGTGGTGACAATGAGCGCCTCACTCGAGACATCCTCCAAATCTGCTCCGGACGCGAAGGATGTTGGGCCAGAAAACAGGAGAACCGCTTGAGACATCCCCACAAAACGGCCGCGAACGGGACCGTGTCGTACCCCTCGGCGGCTCCCCTTAGAGGCGTGAAAATAATCGCCTCGCTCGAGACATCCTCCAAATCTGCTCCGAACGCGAAGGATGTTGGGCCAGAAATCAGGCAAACTGCTTGAGACATCCCCACAAAACGGCCGCGAGCGGGACCGTGTCATACCCCTCGGCGGCTCCCCTTAGGGGCGTGAAAATGATCGCCTCGCTCGAGACATCCTTCAAATCTGCTCCGAAAGCGAAAGATGTTGGGCCAGAAAACAAGCAAACCGCTTGAGACATCCCCACAAAACGGCCGCGAACGGGACCGTGTCATACCCCTCGGCGGCTCCCCTTAGGGGTGCTGAAACCAGCGCCCAGCCTGAGACATCCTCACAATCTGCTGTGTGTAGAGTAAGTCAGACAATAAGAAGGCCTGAGTATGATTAGGTCTGGGTATGAGTGAGTCTCAGCATGAGTAAGTCTGAGTATGAGTAGGTCTGAGTATGAGTAGGTCTGATTATGAGTAATATTGTGTGTGAGTAAGTCTGGGTATGAGTAAGTCTGAGTGTGAGTCAGTCTTTGCATGAGTAAGTCTGGGTATGAGGAGGAGAGGGGAGGAGAAGGAGGAGGAGGATGAGGAGTAGGAGGCGTCAGAGTAATAACAATAACCCCATCTTAGGATATGGGGAACAAGCAAACCGCTTGAGACATTCCCACAAAACGGCCGCGAACGGGGCGTGCGTGAGTCTCAGCATGAGTAAGTCTAAGTAGGAGTAGGTCTAAGTATGAGTAGGTCTGAGTATGAGTAGGTCTGAGTATGAGGAATATTGTGTGAGTAAGCATGGGTATGAGTAAGTCTGAGTGTGAGTCAGTCTGTGCATGAGTAAGTCTGGGTATGAGGAGGAGAGGGGAGGAGAAAGAGAAGGAGAAGAAGTCGGCGGCGTCCAAGAAATAACAAGAACCCCATCTTAGGATATGGGGAAAAAGCGGAAAGGACCGCACAGAGCAAGGAGCGGAAGGTGAAGGAGGACGACGGAAGAGAGAGGGGCGGGAGAATGCGAAACGTACCTCCGCGCCGTGGCGCCGCCCCCCCCCCCCTCTGGAGAAAGGCAGTCCTCCAGCCCGGGCCGCGGCGCGCGAAACGCGGCTGTCTTCGCGCTCCTTCGAGCAACCTGGGCACGAGTGGGAGGGCGTGCCCGGTGCCCGCCCGGTGCCCACCCGCTGCACGCCCACGGAGGGCGCCTCGTGGGGGGGGCGCCTCGTGGGCGCCTCGTGCTGGGCGGGCGTGCTGGGCTCTGGCCCGGCTGTCCGCCTGGTGCCCACCAGTGGGCGCTACGCGCCCAGTGCCCGGCCGCGTGCGTTTCTTGGTCGTCCTCCTCGTCCCTCTCCTCCTCCTCCTCCTCCTCCTCCTCCTCCTCCTCCTCCTCCTCCTCCTCCTCGTCCTCCTCCTCCTCCTCCTCCTCTTCTTCCTCTTCGTCCTCCTCCTACTCATCCTCGTCTTTCCTCCTCGTCCTCCTCCTCGTCCTCCTCCTCCTCCTCCTCTTCTTCCTCTTCGTCCTCCTCCTCATCCTCGTCGTTCCTCCTCGTCCTCCTCCTGCTCCTCCTCGTCCTCCTCCCCCTCCCTCCTCCTCCTCCTCCTCGTGATTCTCCTCCTCCTCCTCTCCTCGTCATTCTCCTCCTCCTCCTCGTCCTGGTCGTCCTCCCCCCCTCCTCTCCTCCTCCTCCTCCTCCTCTCCTCCTCCCTCCTCCTCCTCCTCCTCCTCCTCCTCCTCCTCCTCCTCCTCCTCCTCCTCCTCCTCCTCCTCCTCCCCTCCTCCTCCTCCTCGTCTTCCTCCCCGTCCTCCTCCTCCTCCTCCTCCTCCTCCTCCTCCTCTTTGTCCTCCTCGTCCTCCCTTTCCTCATCGTCCTTCTTGTTTTCCTCGTCCTCCTCCTCTCCCCACTCCTCCGTTTTCTTGGGCATGCTATGGTGCCTCAGGGTCCCGACGCGTCAAGGAGCCCACGCTAACGAGGGCACGAGACAGGCAGGCTGCAACGCGGATCTGAAAGGTTGGCAACACCAGAAGGTATACATGACAAAATGGAGAGGATCAACTGCATGAGCGAGATGGAAAGCGGAGCAAGTGCGACTGATGCTGGCGCCGTGCTGCAGCAAGCCGTCAAGCTCGGGGTGACCGTGCGAAGCTGGGGGGTCATACGAGATTCGATGTGGGGAAATAACTGATTTGAGGGAATGGGTGCAGTTCCTCTCCAATGATCCCCAAGAGCGCCTTCTCTACTGAGGGCCCGAATAGCAAAACACCCTGAAACGCTTCTGGGGTGATTTTCCATTTGGGGCGCCGCGAGAATCTGGCGGGGGGGCTGACCGAAAGAGACAAAGCCCCCCCAAAAGAACTTCGACCTGGGCAATTGTAAAGTTCTGAGGTCGGGTACACCACCTCCCGATGATCCACAAGAGGGCCCCCAATGCTGAGAAAGATCACGAATGGAACCACCCCACCATGACCATCATCATCAGCATCACCATTATCATGAGCATCATCATCACCATCACCATCACCATCATCATTATCAGCAGCAGCAGCAGCATCAGCATCATCATCACCATCATCATCACCAGCATCATCAACATCAGCATCATCATCACCATCACCATCATTATCATCATAATCAGCATCATCATCAGCATCATCATCCTTATCTTCATTCTGATCATCATCATCATCATCATCATCACCACCACCACCGTCACCAGCACCATCACCATCACCATCACTATCATCACCAGCATCAGCATCAGCATCAACATCATCACCAACATCATCAGCATCATCATGTTCATCATGTTCATCATCATTATCATCATCATCATCATCATCATCATCATCATCATCATCACCATCATCATCATCATCATCTCCACCATGACAATCACTGTCACCATCATCATTGTCATCAACATCGGCATCGCAATCATCACCATGATCACCATCATGAGCGACATCATCATCATACTATCCATGTTCATTATCACAAGCACCTGTATCATTCATTATTCGCATCATCATCACCACCACCATCGTCACCATCATCATTAGCATCACCATCAAAACCATCATCATCATCAGCATCACCATCGTCCACGTCATTACCATCGTCATCATCATCGTCATCATCAATACCATCATCACCACCGCCATCACCCTCACCAACACCACCACCATCACGGAGCGCCGAACAGCGGGGAGGAGCAAACAAAGGGGAACCGGACGAGGCGAGGCCGAAAGGCCACGGAAGGGGAGGAGCAGGCCCCGCAGCAACCCGACCTGGCCCTCCAGGTGCTCTCCACAGAACCCAACATCGACCCGGGACGGCCCGACGTCGGACAGCTGGGCCCAGAAGTCGGCCTCCTCAGACCCTCCCGCCGCTCCAAGACGGCGCAGGTGGCCCCCAAGAATCGCCCCAAAGACCGCCCCAAGACGGCCCAGGAGGCCTCCAAGAGGGCCCCCAAACAGCCCAAGAAGACCCCAAGACAGTGCAACATGCCTGCAAGACGGCCCACGAGGCCCCCTGGGCCCGACGAGCGAATCAAACAGACATTTCGAGCCCTCGGCCCCGAGAAGCTCCGAGGAGGCCCCAAGAGGTTCCCAAGATGCCCTGGGAGGCCCACAAGGCCCCCCAGGAAGCCCGGAGAGGTCCCCAAGAGGCTCCAGGAGGCCCCAAAGAGGCTCCCAAGAGGCCCCCAGAATTCCTCACCAGAGCCCCCCGAGAGCCTTCCGAAGAGACCCCACACAAGAAGCATCGTCAGCCCACGTCAGCGTCGTCATCGTCGCCGCTGGCGTTGTCGTCGTCGACGTCTCCCGTCAGGGTCGGCGGCAGCCGTAAGGCCTTAGCGATACCGGGGCGGCTGGAGGCACGCGCAGATAAAACAACGGAATCCAACCTGTTCTTTGTTAGGAGCCGCAGCGCCAACATCTATCACGTGAAGAACCCAATGTTTGGATATATCCGTTTCGGTTCGGCACTTTCCGCACAAAACGCACACAAGTGCCAATCAATCACGACAACAACTGCTCCCCATACCGCAATGCATTCTCGAATAATCTTCGTTCGTTCCGTATGTCTCGCTGCACGACCATGACCATAACCGTACCTGACATTCCGCTGAGTGCCTCGAGGACAAACCTTTACAAACTGTGCAGGAGTTGATTGGATATTATTGCTTGTTTCGTTTTCTACGTCCATGGCACTGCGTCGTCACACCTGCCTGTGATGATGCGTTCACTTCCACTGGGCCTGAACACACGGTGCAACGATGCACTACCTCTTCTATGCGTCGAGCTCTTGCTGCTATTTCAGCTCTGGTGTCAGTGTCTCCCGCATGACCAGCCCCTCTCCATGTGCAAAGTTTGTGAGATCCTATTGTTCTGGACCTTTGGTCTTTTCTTTGAAAGCTGCTGAATCCCATTGGTGACATCTTGTGTGACGAGCCCCTGAAAACAATAGCATGGACAGCACTACTGGCAAAATCCCCCAACATTTGACAAATAGGGTCAAGCTTGTCATTCACTGGAGCCCCATTGAATAATGCTCCAGAACATGAGCTTCGGAAACGAGCGCACTCGTCTCGTAGCTCGCTCGACGAACAGCCGCACCATGCGGAACTATGATATGACACCACGTCGCCCGCACCGCACAGCTTGCACCCTATAGCCTGCACCACGCACACGCTTTGCACAGCATAGCTTGCCGCTTACACCGCATAGCCTGCGCAAAGCAAAGCTTGCGCCATACAGCTTCTACTTCCAGAGTGCAATAACTGCCCTCTTGGGGTCAACGCTGGCAAATCTACTCACTGTGCAATAGTGGAGGCAGCGGCGGCGGTGCTCGACTGATCCACGTGCCTGCATGTGAGAAGCTCGAGAGAGAGCCGCGGGCAGCACAAGGACCACGAGTGCGCTATCTGTAGCGGTGCATTGGCACGGTGGCGCTCCCAGTGTGCCTCGCGAGCAATAGTGGAGGGGTAGGGAGGAGGGAGAGGACCAGAGATGAGGGTTGAAGGTACTGTGCGGGTGCTTGTAGCAAGCCTGTCGCGCTTCAGAATGTTTCAGGTGGGGCTTTAGTGGCCATCACTTCGCACCCTTGTCCTCATCTATTACTTTCTCTCGCCTCTCCTTCTCATCGTTCCTCCTCCTCATCCTCCTTCATGTTCCCCTCTTCCTCCTCCCTCATCATTATGTTCGCTCGACATCCTGCCACCTTCTCCCCCCTCCTCTTCCTCTTTTCCCCTCCTCTCCCTTCCTTCTCCCACCACCAGATCTCGTGAATCCTTCATCTGCGCCTCCCCGCCAAGTTTGCCCGATTGTCCCAGGCACCTATCGGCATCCACCTTCTCCTGCCCGACATTTGACCGAAGAAACGGGATGGTGATAACGGCAGTGCGCGCGCCAGTCCGGAGCACGCTGCCGTGTAGCATTAATCCGCCACCGTGCCTCGAGACAGAGTGGAGTTACCCCCAGGGTCTCATGTATTCTCTGTTCAAGGGGCACAAGGGCACACAAATAAATACACACAAATAAAATGATTCCCCATATTTTCTCATATTTTCTCAGTTTTTGTCTGTCCCCCCAATTCCCATATTTTCCCATATTTTCCTGGGAGTCGACGATTAATTGTGTCTGTGTGTTTCTTTCCCTCCTGATCTGTTCTCTGCACTCCGGACTGGGGGAGTCTAAGGGCCAGGGCCCCAAACTCTCAAGTTTCCCGGGCGCTCCCCCGCGCTCCTGGGCTGCCTCGCCCCAGGACGGGCCCAGAGGGGCCCAAAGGAGTGCCCAAGAGACCTCCAAGACAGCCCAAGAGCGCTCCAAGACGCCCAGGATGGCCCCGAGACGCCCCACGGGGCATCAAAGAAGCACCACGAGTGCTCCAAGAGGACACCCAAGAGGTCCCAAAGAGGCAACAACCATTGATTTTCCTTGTGTTTTTTGTAAATGTTTGTCGCGTTCTCGCGTTTATAAGTTTCTGACGTTCCGAAGTGGCCCCGGATGCCCGCAAGACCGCCCCAAGACAGCCCAAGAGGCCACCAAGAGGGCCCCAAGACGGTCCAAGAAGGCTCCAAAACGGCCCAACAAGCGTCCAAGATCGCCCAAGAGGGTCCTAAGACGAGCCCAAGAGGGAGAACACGATCCGACAATTCGAGCCTTCCACCCCAAAGGCCCAGGAGGCGCCCAAGAGAGCCCAAGAGGCCCCCTGGAGGCCCCACGAGGCCCCCAAGAGCCCCCAAAAAGAGGCCCCCAAACGGCCCCCAAGAGGCCTCAAAACTGCCTCCAAGAGGCCCGGAGAGGTCTCCCACGATATCCAAACGAACATCAGAGATTCCTCTAACGCACAACCCCAGGCACGGTGGCAGGATGGGCCGCTGGGGTCCCACGAGGATTGCCCACGTGCACAAACTCCACGGAAAATCCTCCTTGAAACGACCGTTTCGCTCGGGACATCCAAAAAAAATAACAGAGATGGCCCAAGATGGCCTCCAAGTCCGCCCAAGATGGTCCAAGACGGCCTCCAAGACGGCCCAAGAGAGTCCAAGACGGCCCAAGACGACCCAAGAGGCCCCCCAGAGGCCTCCCAGACGGCCCAAGAGGTCTCCAAGAGGTCCTCCAGGAGGGCCCGAAGAGACCAAAATCATTGATCTTCCTTAGGTTTTTGAAGGATTTGGGAATTTGCTTCTTCTCGGCATTCCTACGGCTCAAGACGGCCCCAGAGGCCCCCAAGATCGCCCAAGAGGCCCCCAAGAGGGCCCCATGACGGCCCAAGTGGCCTCCAAGATGGCCCCCAAGAGGGCCCCAAGACGGCCCCAAGAGGCTTCCAACACGCCCAAGATGGCCTCCAAGACGCCCAAGATGGCCTCCAAGACGGCCCCGAAGCGCCCCAAGAGGGTCCCCCGTTGGCCCAGAAAGGCCCCCCTAACGGCTCCCGACGGCGTCAGACGTGCCAGGAACCCACCAAGATGGCCGAAGTTGGCTCGAAGCTGGCCCAAGGCGGCCCAAGAGGCCCCAAAGAGAGCCTCCAGGAAGGCCAGAAGAGGCCAAAAACATAGATTGTTCTGTAGGTTTTTGACGGATTCTGACATTTCCTTCTTTTCGGCCTTCCGACGGCCCGAGACGGCCCAAAGGCCCCCAAAGATCGCCGAAAGGTCGCCCAAGAGGCCTCCAAGACGGCCAAGATGACCTTCAAGATGTCCATGTGTTCCCCGAAGGCTTTCCAAACCGATTCGGAGAACACATGGTCCGATGGCTTGGCAGGTCTGGCCTCAACGTTCGGCCACATAGGCGCTTCCAAAAAGGCAGGGGGCGGCGGTGGTTCGCCGCAGGCGTCTTCGATCCGCCGCCCCCTTTTGATTCACCAAAGGGGTGCCTGGCGTGTAAAAACCCTCTCGGTTTTGGTTTTGGTTCTTTTTCCAAAAGAACTCCCCCTGGGACTCCGGCGCGTCCTGCCGGCCACCCGGAAGACCAGGTTGCCATCGCCAAAAACGGCCGTTTCGCTCGGGACATCCTCAAACAAATTCGAAGATGGCCCAAGATGGCCTGCAAGATGCCTCCAAGACAGCCAAGATGGCCTCGAAGACGGCTAAGATGGCCCCAAGATGCATCCAAGACGGCCCACGATGGCCCAAATATGGTCGAAGAAGGCCCAAAAGGCCCGCAAGAGGCCTCCAAGACGGCCAAAGAGGCCTCCAAGAGTTCCTCCAGGAAGGCCCGACGAGGCCAAAATCCTTGATTTTCCTTAGGTTGTTGAAGGATTTTGGCATTTGCGCCTTTTCGGCTTTCCGACGGCCCGTGACGGCCCCAGAGGCTGCCAAGGTCGCCCGAAGATCGCCCGAGATCACCCAAGAGGCCTCCAAGATGGCCCCATGACGGCCCAAGAGGCCCCCAAGACGGCCCCTAGAGGGCGCCAAGACGGCCCAAGAGGCCTCCAAGACGCAAGAGGGCCCCAAGTCGGCCCAGAAAGCCCCCCGAAACAGCTTCCGACGGTGTCAGACGGGCCAGGAGCCCACCAAGACGGCCGAAGGAGGCTCGCAGCTGGCCCAAGACGGCCCAAGAGGCCTCCAAGAGGGCCTCCAGAAGGCCAGAAAAGGCCAAAAAGAACGATTATCCTGAGGTTCTTGACGGATTTTGACATTTGCTTTGTTTCGGCCTTCCGACGGCCCGATACGGCCCAAGGGCCCCCAAAGATCGCCCAAGGATCGCCCAAGAGGCCTCCAAGATGGCCCCAGAACGGCCCAAGAGGCGCCCAAGACGGCCCCAAGAGGCCCCCAAGACGGCCCAAGAGGCCTCCAAGACGCTCAAGATGGCCTCCAAGACGGCCCAAGACCCCTCCAAGACGTCCTCCAAGAAGGCCCGAAAGGGTCAAAATGGCCTCCAGGCGTCCAAGATGACCTTCAAGATGCCCACGTGTTCCCCGAAGGCTTTCCAAACCGATTCGGGGAACACATGGTCCGATAGCTTGGCAGGTCAGGCCTCAACGTTCGGCCACATAGGCGCTTCCAAAAAGGCAGGGGGCGGCGGTGGTTCGCCGTAGGCGTCTTCGATCCGCTGCCCCCGTTTTATTTATCGCAGGGGTGCCTGGCGTGCTAGATGATTTCGCTTTTGGTTTTGGCTCTTTAACAAAAGAACTCCCCCTGAGGCTTCGGCCCGTCCCGCCGGGGTCCAAGGACGATCTTCAAGGAGCTCAATTCCCGGAAAAATCCTCCAAGACAGCTCAAGATGGCCACCAAGATGGCCACGTTGGCCCACGATGGCCTCCAAGATGGTCCCAGATGGCCTCCAAGTCCGCCGAAGATGGTCCAAGACGGCCTCCAAGACGGCCTCAGAGAGCCCAAGATAACCCCAAGTTCGCCCAAGAAGCCTCCGAGACGCCTCCAAGACGGCCCAAGAGGCCTCCAAGAGGTCCTCCAGGAGTACCCGAAGATGCCAAAATCATTGATGTTCCTTAGGTTGTTGCAGGATTTTGGAGCTTGCATCGTCTCGGCATTCCGATGGATCAAGACGGCCCAAGAGGCCCCCAACATCGCCCCAAGATCGCCCGAGAGGCCTCCAAGAGGGCTCCTTGACGGCCCAAGAGGCCCCCGAGACGGCCCCAAGAGGGCACAAAGACGACCCAAGAGTCCTCCAAGACGCCCAAGATGGACTCTAAGAAGGCTCTGGAGCACCCCAAGAGGGCCCCAAGTCGGTCCAGAAAGGCTCCACAAACGGCTTCCGACGGGGTCAGACGGGCCAGGAGCCCACCAAGATGGCCGAGGTTGGCTCGAAGCTGGCCCAAGACTGCCCAAGGGGCCTCCAAGAGGGCCTCCAGGAAGGCCAGAAAATGCCAAAAACAATAGTTTTCCGTAGGTTGTTGAAGGATTCTGTCGTTTGCTTCGTTTCGGCCTTCCGACGGCCCGATACGGCCCAAGGGCCCCCAAAGATCGCCCAAGAGGCCTCCAAGATGGCCCCAGAACGGCCCAAGAGGCCCCAAAGAGAGCCTCCAGGAAGGCCAGAAGAGGCCAAACTCATTGATTTTCCTAATGTGTTTGACTGATTTTGACGTTTGGGCCCCCAAAGATCGCCCAAGAGGCCTCCAAGATGGCCCCAGAACGGCCCAAGAGGCCCCCAAGACGGCCCCAAGAGGGCGCCAAGACGGCCCAGGAGGCTTTTAAGACGCCCAAGATGGCCTCCAAGACGGCCATGGAGCATTCCAAGAGGGCCCCAAGTCGGCTCAAAGAGGCCCCCCAAACGGCTTCCGACGGCGTCAGACGTGCCAGGAACCCACCAAGATGGCCGAAGTTGGCTCGAAGCTGGCCCAAGACCAAGTGCCCCCACAGATCGCCCAAGAGGCCCAAGACGGCCCAAAGAGGCCCCCAAGACGGCCTCAGAGGCCTCCAAGACGCTCAAGACGGCCTCCAAGACGGCCCAAGACCCCTCCAAGACGTCCTCCAAGAAGGCCCGAAAGGGTCAAAATGGCCTCCAGGCGGCCAAGATGACCTTCAAGATGCCCACGTGTTCCCCGAAGGCTTTCCAAACCGATTCGGGGAACACATGGTCCGATAGCTTGGCAGGTCAGGCCTCAACGTTCGGCCACATAGGCGCTTCCAAAAAGGCAGGGGGCCGCTGTGATTCGCCGTAGGCGTCTTCGATCCGCCGCCCCCCTGTTGATTTATCACAAGGGTGCCTGGCGTGCTGAACACTCTCGGTTTTGGTTTTGACTCTTCCCCAAAAAAACGTCTCCTGGGGCTTCGGCCCGTCCGGCCGGGGTCCCGGAAGGATTGCCCCCAGACGGCTCCAATGGCCCAGATGGCCTCCAAGACGGCTAAGATGGCCCCAAGATACCTCCAAAACTGCCCAAGATGCACCCAAGACGGCCTCAGATGGCCTCAAGATGGCCTAAGCCGGCCCAAGAGGCCCCCAAGAGGCCTTCAAGACAGCCATGAAGGCCTCCAGGAGGTCCTCCAGAA